AAGGAGATAAACCACAAAATATGATTTACAACTTAAAAGGAAAATGTTTTTTAAGAATTAGACAATATGGAAAGTTTTCTGAGAATGCAGATAATATGTTTGAATTCTGGAAGCATTCTCTTTTGCATTGCACCTGCCATTTACGTTTACACAAAGTGGCTGCAAAATGCTGCTATTCTGATTTGATCGAACTTTAAATTTGTTTTGCATTGGTCTTCCCCAAGTGTAAAAAATCACAAGAGATGCAAGACAGTGGAGAATCAGGCCTATTAACCTTAATATCAGAATCAAGATGCTACCTCATTAGCTGCTTAAATTTGGGGTAGCAATCAATTTCAATTATATTACACCAGCTGAGTGATCCAGATTTATTCATTTTCCTTTTGCTTAAGCTTCTCTTGATAGGAATTTAGTAGGTAATATGATCTGTGCTAACCTGAGGTTAGCAGTGTAATTATACTGTCTTATTAGAACAAGAACAGTGCAGGCAAGCTGAAGCATAGTTGGAACAGTTTCAAATCAGGTAGATTTCAGCCAACTGCAAATATTAGTGTTATATATACCTTAAAAGTTTCTGAATATAATTTTTTATTAGCTCTCTGGCTTGATCACCACTCCTGATTTATTTAAAAGTTTGCTCTGTAACCCACCTAAGGTACCTGTTTGGTGCCTACTACTGTCCTATTCTGACAACACCTTTGTGAGTTAGGGAGTTTCTGTTTATTGCCATTTTACAAGTGAGGATTTTACATATTTAGGGTAGGGGTTGGCAATGCTTTTTGGTAAGGAGCTGGAATTACTCAGCTTGGGATCTGGCTAGGACCTGGTTGCCTCTACCATTTCTTCCTGCTGCCTAACTGCGGCACAGTGGAAGGAGAGCTCCTTTCTACTGGAACACCCCCCAGGTGCCAACTGTGGCCTGGTGTGGGCAGAATACCTTGCCGCAGAATGCTGTTGAAGCCACAGCTCTGCAGGCTGAATTGAAAGGCTCCACGAGCTGGAAGTTGCTGACCCCTGATGCAGAGGATAAGCAATTTGCCTAGGGATTTGAATCCAGGTCTCCCAAGTGCTAGGCTAGTGCCTTAACCATTGGCTTGTCCTTCTGCTTAATGGTATGCAGATATCTCTAACTATACATCTTTTATATATTAAAGAAATCTGAACTGAATGAATTAGAATAAACTATTATTGACAAATTTTCATCTTGCCTTGGCTTGGGTTTCCTATTACTTTTTTGCTACCACAGATATTTGCAGGTGTATAAATAATATTTATATTATTTAATTTACTTGGTACTTCACAAGGCCTTTTTGGTACTTGATGGCACCTGCAAGTAAAGTATTTGCCATAGTAAAGGCCCTGAATGATGTTACAAATTCATTCCAGGTGCAGAATGACTCCTGCATAGCAATTGTAGGCACACAACTGGGAATTACATAACATTAAATCTGCACTTTACTGACAGACTAAATACAAGGGTATGAATTTTGGATTACACTAAATATTTTTGCCTATTTAATGTGAAAACAAGCTAAAAATTCATAACAAAATGTTATTAAAACTAATGTTATACCTTTTTTTAGTCAGCTTAACTGACAAAAAATGTGGCCAGACTCTGATACTAATATCTGAAGAAAAAGTCTGGCTGAGAGATGCATCAATGGCAGTGATTCTTAGCCAGGGTGGTGTGGCATCCTGGTGTGCCTTGCTATCCTTTCAAAGGATCCTGGTGTGCTGCAGGATGCCATGAAAGCTCTGTTAGGTGTGTAAATGTGATTCGTAAAATTAAACAAGAGATTTCAAATAAGAGTCCATGGGGTTAAAGGCATTCTGACCTGGTGTGGTCTTTGAGTTTTTGCAACAGAAAAATTGCTCTATTTTTCAGCAGTCAAAAATGAGTGAAAAGTAAAAGCTGACATTTTCTGAGGGGTGCCTCAAGTCTAAATAGAAGGTTTGAGAACCACAGAGCTATGTGGTGTGGGCTCCCCCTGCTGGAGCAAACAACTAATGCAGAATAATTGCCTACATGGCATTACTGAAACCTCCTGAACGAACAAACATTTTGTCTTTTATTTATGAGGTCTAGCAGAAACTTGAGAATGTTTTATTCTCTTGTTAATTCAAGTATCTTGTTTGCTTCCAGAATCGGCTACGTTCATTTTATATGATTCTTTGGTCTTACTCATAAGTGATATTTATTTTCCATAAGTAGATGTTTGCTGGTTCTTCGCATTTTAGATAGAAAATGTAAAATTTTAGGCACCTGAGTAAGTTTTGGGGATTGTCATTTATTTAAAAAAAAACCCCAAAACCAGACAGTGATCATATTTATAAATAAATCCTACAGCAGAAGAAAATGTTTCACAAAGTTCAAACATGAACATTTACTTGAGTCTTCTCTCACAAAACTTGTAACTAAAAGCACAAAGACAATAACTTGAGGGTTACCCAGTATAGTACATTCTTTCCTACTTCTGTGCTATGCGAGCCCTTTACAATATAGAAAGGAGGTTTTGTTTCTTCTTTCATCATCTCAAAAAGAAAAGGCATACCAAATAAAGCCAATCTACACTTTTATTTATAAGCATTAGTTTAGCAGGTCCCATAAGCAAGGATAAATAGAGCTGATAGATTGACAACAAGACATAAGTTTCCAAGGTAGATGCAGATTAGAATACAAAACTTAGACCAGCGGCCATGGTGCTTTGAAACGTTGCTGCTGTTGCAACTGGAATGGAGGTGATAACACAGTTTGTTAGTGTGTATGTTCATGTATGTCTGTGTAAATATAATATTTGTTTACCAGCCATCTTTGGTTTTGGTCTAGAGAGTAAACCGCATAAGCCAAATCTTAATTACGGAATTTTAAGTATTGTTTACTCTGTTTTACAATAATATGCTTACTAATTTTGCAATATAAAACATTGTTGAACACTTCTAAACGGGATAAGAGATTTGTATCATTCCTAATGTACAATTAGGAACAATTAAAACAGATTAACCTGATGCATGGAAACCTAATTTGACTTTGTCTTACTGTGCTGTGTAGATTTTAATGGAAGCCATGTGGTAAAATGCCTCTGCTTATCCTTGAAAATGGAAGAGCTTACTTTGCTTTGCAGCTGAGCTCTTTAAATGATGTTTTTGATATTTTTTCCAACTATTGGTCAAATGTTGATTGGTGTTTTTCTGTTTAATGTTTAACAATTTTAGTAAAATATTTCTCAACTCCAGAATGATTTAGATTACTAGAAAACTTCTGAAAAATCTTTAATAAGCTTGCTTGTGTATGTATAGATGATATCTGGTAGTGATGTGCATGCATGTGTGTATGCAGGGGGTAGCTTACACAGCAATGGACTATACTATGGAGATATGCTTCTAATCTAGACCTGCAATATTCCTTCTGTGATAAACAATGATTATGTAGTAATGCAACTAAAATAATGTCAGTTAACATATTTGCCAATATAATGGTAAGCATATAGACCGAGAATAACATGATCATTCATGCCACCTTAATTATTAGTTTGGTTTTTTTCCATGCATGCACCCTGAATGGAATTCTGAATTTTTACACTGTTTATGCTGTAGGACCTGTATAAGGGAATTTGTTAGTAGTTAATGATCTATCCTGCATACTTCATCAGCGTAAATTCTGCCTGTGTTAAACATTAAAGAATTAGGCTTACCCTGATGGTACCCCACTTGCCCCACCTTCATTATGCTACTACTAACCACTGTTGGCCGTCTCTCTACTTAGATTTACACATTTTGGTCTGCTTCCCCCTTTCTGCCTCCTAGTGAACCAGAGATCACCCCCTTTCTTTCTTCCCACTCTTGGATTAAGGCCTGGCACCATCTTAACCTCTTACCCACTGCATTAGACAGTTGTCTGAGCCTTATAGGAGGTGGCTGAGGACATCTTCAGTTCTAGCACTGGGACCCAACACCTCTGGGTATAGAGATGCAAAGGAAATATTTCATTCAGGAGGGAAAACAGTCCTGAGACAGGAGGACATGCACTCACATGCAGCAAGCAACTACAGCAAAATATAAGCCTGTGCAAACATTGTACCTAATAACCCATGCTTGCTTGATGTAGCACTGTGCCATTGGGTTGGATGTCACTGCCAAGATACCCAGGGGCATTGTACAACAAGCAGTGGTTCATTTGGGCTAGTATATCCTTGGAAGTTCAGGTTAAGCTTTGCTAGCCATGGCAATGTGTAACCTGTGGTTGCTTAGCATGTGCTTTTTCCCCTCTTGTAGTGGCTGGGGGCTTGATTCTGCTATAGAGTGGAGCTAACAATGCAGGGTCTTTTTGTACAGGCAGTAGAGGCTAATGTGTCTAGAACTGGAGGTCTTAGGTTTGACCCCCACTGTCAGTGATCCCCTACCTAGGATGCTTCATTATATTAAAAGAAGTAATAAAAACAAGCTGCCTCGCTCTTTCTAGATTGTCACTTCCCAAAATGTGAACAGGCTCAAAGTCAGTTTGGCAATGGAAGGTGCTAACTGTCCACCGGGGCATCTGTAAACTGCTAAATAAACATGATGGGTGTAGCCATCCAGATATTTATTAGAGAGAGAAACATGCAAAGCAGCCATTGGAACAAAATAAAAATGTGCAAAGACTTGATGCCTTTACTCCAAGGAACTGTGCCTGTGGCTATGGGAAAGGTGAAACAATCCACAGCTTACTGAACTGAGTCATTAAGGAACAAATACTGTGGTTAACCTTGCAAAATTTTTCTCCCAAATAGGATTTGGCCATTGATATCCATATATTTAATTAATTGAGGTATGAATTCTGTTATGAGCATCACCAAGCAACTTTGTGTTTTGTTTGCAACTCTGAATCAAGTTGTCCATCTCTGTACTGAAAGTTTCAGCTTCTATAGACATGATTGTGAGAGTATAGAAATTTTGCTTATTATGAAAATTAATAAATCATGAACTAGCTTATTTTTACTAAATATCTTTTCCTTTAATCACAGTATTTTTAAGACCACAGAGAAATTTGGAGTCAATAGACCCTCAGTTTACAATTCGAAGGAAAATGGAACAGATGAGAGAAGAGAGAGAACTTGTAGAACAACTGCGGGAGGTATGTAACAATGGTAGGCTGTGACTTCAGTGCCAAAGCATGTGTTTTCTGTCTACCTTTTGGAGATTCATGTAGCTTTAGGATGAAAGCAGTTGCTGGATGTATTAGCAGGGGAATTTCAAGTAGGAGTAAAATATAATGTTACTCCTGCACGCATCAATAGTTTGACTCTTACAGGAATATTGGATCCAGCTCTGATAGCCAAACTTCAGAAAGGATAGTGAAGAGCTTATAAGAATGATTCAGTGTGGATGACATGCCTTTGTGAGAAATACTAAGCTCAATATTTTTAGTTAATTGAAAAGGAAGTAAAGAAGTGGCATGATAGAGGTGTGGGTTTGTTCTGTTTTGCGATTGAGACTAAGTGGTTTTTTGTGTCATTAAAATCTGTAAACCTCTGCCCAATTTCACTATCTGTAAAATGGAGATGAAAAATCTAAGGACAATAAGTGAGACTTACCCAGTTACATGGTACATCAAAGATTCCACCAGGGGAGCACTTGCTTGGGACTCCCAGCCTTGTATAGTCTCTGAATACCCACTGATGCCAGCAGGCATAGCTTCCAGAGTAGGGTTAGCACTTAGCTCCTTAGACCCCTGAGATGTGGCCCTATGGTCCCTGGTCCTCCCTCAGGGAGTTGCCTTCCAGCTCCTGACATGGAAGTTACCTCATCAAAGGGGAAATAACTGCACCCCAAAGTCCCCAAGAAGCAAAACAGACTGTTCATTTTCAACAGTCATTTATTGAGCAACTGCAGTACAGAAAGCAGAGTCCTTGCCCCCTCCAAAGGGTTAAACCAATAGTCTGTCCCCAGTCCAGCCTACACAGCCTGTGAGCACCCCAAAGTTATTTTGACTTTACTTTCCCTTCTCTTGGGACTTCCAGCTTTTTACTTTGTTCCATCCATTTGCCCCATCCTTATCTGTGCCCTTGATGCCTCTTGGGTGTCACCTCCAATGTATATTTACCAACCCCATCTGAAGGCTACTCAGTTGTTATTGGAAGGGCATTGCTTCTCCATAAGGGAAGGCAGCTCTGGTTTCTTCAGTCTGTCTTAACTGCTTTCCACCTGTACTAGCTATTTAGGGAAACTGGGCGTTGAACATTTTTACAACATGAACACATTTAAACCAGCAATATTACAACAAAGGCATGGTTTGTCACAGGGTGTTAAAAATAGTTCTGTTATATCTATTAAGAAGTAAACAGTACACCCACCAAAGTAGTGGTAAGAGACCATTTTAACATTAGCATTGATTTAATAGTGCAAAATCACTGATTTAACAGTATTATTTGGTGGTTGGCAACATATAGCCCATGGACCAGATCTGGCCAATGAAGAGCTGTGATCCAGGCCATAGTGGTATCCTGCAGGGTGGAATGAGGACAATCAGTAGCATGTGGCAACAGGAGTCAGCCACCAGTTAACATAACAGATAATATAGAAGAGGAGTATAGGCATTTTTTTTAAGCCATAGTATGAATAAGAAAATATCAGTAGTTTTGGCAAAGCAAGACTTGGGTGGTCACTTCAGGTTTTTAATTGGCAGAATGGGAAAAGGCACATGAGGACTGTAATGCAGCCTATGAATATTTGCTTTGGATTTTTTTACCTTTCAATCTAATTTGGTATAAAAGTGGTGACTTGCTTGTTCTCCTTTACAGAATATTGAAACAAGACTAAAGATTTGTTTGCCTGAAGACTTGGGATCTGCTCTGATGGATGGGGTGGTCCTCTGTCATTTAGTCAATCACGTTCGTCCTCGATCTGTAGGAAGTATCCATGTACCTTCACCAGCAGTAGTAAGTCAGCAATTTCTAAAAAATGAAGAAGTTGATGATTTATCAAACAATATTCAGATATCCATTAAAGTACACTAACCACTATGTTATGAATAAGCTGGTCTGTAGCAAGTTGAAGTGTATGCCTTAATTGTCTAAACATCTGATATGTTTACCATAATTCAGAATTTTTTCCCTCCTTTTTTGAGCTGCAAGGAAATATCTTTTGACAAGACTTTTGTTCCAGATGATACTTTCCTTAAATTCAGCCCTCACACTTAGAATCGTAGAAAATTCGTGTTGGAAAGGACCACAGGAGGTCATCTAGTCCAACCCCCCTCCTCAAAGCAGGACCATCCCCAACTAGATCATCCCAGCCAGGGCTTTGTCAAGCCAGGCCTAAAAAACCTCCAAGGGTGGAGATTCCACCACTTCTCTAGGTTACCCATTTCAGTGCTTCATCTCCCTCCTAGTAAGACAGTTTTTCCTAATATCCAGCTTAAACCTCCCTTGCTGCGTTTGAAACCATTGTTCCTTGTTCTGTCATCTGCCACCACAGAGAACCGTCTAGCTCCATCGTCTTTTGAACCCCCCTTCAGGTAGTTGAAGGCTGCTATTAAACCCCCCCGAGTCTTCTCTTCTCCATACCAGATAAGCCCAGTTTCCTCGGCCTCATCTCATAAGTCATGTGCCCAAGCGTCTTCACTATTTTCATTGTCCTCCACTGGACTCTCTCCAATTTGTCCGCATCCTTTCTGTAGTTGGGGGCCCAAAACTAAACGCAGTATCCAGATGTGGATTCACCAGTACAGAGTACAGGGGAAGAATTAATTACTTCCCTCAATCTGCTGGCAATGCTCCTACTAATGCAGCCCAATATGCTGTTAGCCTTCTTGGCAACCAAGGGCACGCTATTGACTCATGCAGCTTATTGTCCACTGTAACCCCCAGGTCCTTTTTGTGGACGTGCTGCTTAGCCAGTTGGTCCCAATCCTGTAGCAGTACATGGGACTGTTCCATCCTAAATGCAGGACTTTGCACTTGTCCTTGTTGAACCTCATGAGATTTCTTTTAGTCCAATCCTTCAATTTCTCTTATTTCACTTTGAATCTTAGCCCTACCCTCCAGTGTATTTCCGCCAGCTTGATGTCATCCAAAAACTTGCAGAGGATGTGTGCTATGCCATCTTCCAGATTGCTACTGAAGATATTGAACAAAACTGGCCCTAGGACCAACCCCTGGGGCACTCCACTTGAGACTGGCCACCAGCTAGCCATAGAGCCATTGATCGCTACCTGTTGGGCCTGACGATCCAGTCAGTTTTCTATCCACCTTACAGTCTACCCATACTTCCTTACCTTCCTTGCAAGAGGTACTTGTTGGTGCCTCACTATTTTTTTCTGTCATAGCTTTCAGTATGATTGGTAACATACTGCATGCAATACATATCGCAAAGATATGCCATATGGCAATGAATGGCGATGCTATTAACATTAACAGTGTATTGATTTATCAGTCCCATCTGGCAACACATACACTTTCTGCTAAATGTGGCAATTCTTCTTTTTTTGTTGCAGATAGAATACAAGAGAAGTATGCTCTTGTTCTATAATTTTGGGGTCCTCAGAGGCAATGACCTACTCATAGAGATCTGATTACAACAGTGATGCTCAAACCTTTGGGCCCCATAGGCCAGATGATGCCCTGCATACTAGGATCAGGCCTGGGGCCCAGCCCTGTCCCCTCCTTACTGCACACACTGGGATTGGGTTCCAGGGTCCTGGTGTCAGCCCCACATGCTAGGATTAAGCCCCAGCACCACCCCTTCCTGCCTCCAAATGCTGGGAGTGGGCTTTGGGCACCTCCCCCTCCTGCCGTACATGCTGGGATTGGGCCCCAGCACTGGTTCTCTGTCCCCCATGGTACAGGATTCAGCCCCAGGAGCCTGGTACCACCCCTTCCCAACCTACCTACAAGGATTAGGCCTTGAGTGTCTTCCCTGCCCAGCCCTGCATACTGGGATCAGGCACCCAATCCAATGAACAGGGCCCGTGGCTTCCAGTGGTTCTGGAAATTTGGCAGTGGGGGAGTGGTGCCACTCTTCCCCTGATGCCAAATTTCTGGACCTATGGGGAGCCCTGTGGGCTGGATAATCTGGGTCTATAGGCTAGGAATTGAGTACCTATGGACTATAGCACAGGTTGTCACCCAGGGGTACACGTACCCCTGGGGGTACTTTAGAAAGCCCTAGAGGGTACGTGCGGGCAGGTGGGGATGGAGCACTATCTTGCAGCATCCTGCACAGGTGCCGCCCACCCAGCCAGACGCAGGGGGTGGGGGAAGGTCATATGCAGCAGCTGCTGTCACTCTGTGTTCACACCCCACCCCCACTTGGCGTCCAGTCACGCTCC